ATGATTCTCAATGCTCTTCGATGCTGATGCTCTTCGACAATGTGTTCCTCCTGAGGGAGATCAAGCCCCCCTTATATACAATATTTTCTCCAGCAAGCGAGCAAACAAAAAGATAGCAAACACATGACAGACGTACCTATGGAAATACCTAGAAGAGCCTCGAATGTCCGCGTCCTCTCTTCCTCCTTAACTAGTGTAGTCTATCAAATGAAGCTTACGTTCCCAACCCACGTGTCCATCGTGAGGCTCCACAGTACTGTAGATCTCTCCCCCCTGGGAAGGTATTTGGTTTGTTATTTTTTGAGGGTTAGCACTAAGCTCGGTCACCGTCTCAGATCACAAAATTCTAAACCTGACTGCAAGTGGACACAGAAAACTTAAATTTCCTCTCAAGGGATACTTCTCTGCCTCCTTGACTATTTCCGTAATAAAAAAAAAAAGAGAAAGAAAGAGAAAAAAATATAATAATAAAAGGAGTAACCAAAATCTCGAATCCTCTGTGGTGGCATTCCCGTTGCAGTTTTCGATGCGACTTTGTCTTCGGTTGGAGCTCTTCCGATACTTTTTCAGTGGTCGGCTGGCTTCGTCTGGCCGTCTCTCTGCGACCGTCGGCGATGCTCTGCGACTCTCTCTCTCGTCTTGAATCTCTTCTCCCTGGTAGCTCTCAAGTGCTCTTTTATAGACAGTTGCAAGAGCGGGAGCTATAATCATGCCCGCAAGAGAAACAAAATACCGGTCGCAAGAGGGATGTAATTATGGTGCAAGGAAGATGTAATTGCGTCCATAAGAGAAAGTCATAATCGTGATCGAATGTAGCTGTCATGGAGACACCAGAGCTGTTGCAATAGGTATGTAGTCGTGACGTCCATCGACTACCACAGAAAACTCCCAAGGGACCCATGTACTAACCAGCAAAAAACCCAAACTGTGTAAGAAACAACAAAAACCCCACAAACATTAAAACCCAACTAAAACACTAAATAACAGCTAAACTATAGCGTGACACAATTTATCCTCCACAGTACTGTACTCCATTTACTCGTGCTAAGGTGGTGGCGGCTAGGCACAACCTTGGCACGAGTGCTCTGGAGTTTCGCTATCTCGGTCCTCTCAGAGTTAGGGGTGGATTTTAGGTGTCCAGCACTTTACCCCCTAGTGTGTGGATCTTGTTTGATCACCAGCCCAGCCTGCCAGCTCTTGCACATGTGTGATTAGAATACTCCCAGCCTCATCGTTTGAGACACCTGGAACCCATACCTTGGTTCCTATGTTGACTCGGGGCATTTAATGGTCTCTTTTAGACTTCAGGCACCGTCGAACCTAAGCAACGCTCCGTCTTGGCGAAAAACCGTATAACTCGAGATAATACTTGTACGGTACTCCATTCCCTTTGTTTAGTATATTCAAACCAGCACGAATTGGAAGAACCGATACCGCTTCTATTGTTCAAAACTCGTTTCAACATCTGCCTCTGGGGCCATACTTGTAGATCAATCCATCTATTGTACAGTACTTCTGATCAGCCTAGAATAGGGTTGCATCATCACTCTGCCATCCGTTCCTCTGAATGCTCACCTCCGGAAAGAGGACACGTAATAACCGAGTAACCGAGCACCGAGCATTGAATAGTTAAACGAGCCTTTTTCCCCTTTACCTTCCGAATATCCCAATCACAAACAACTCTCATCCTCTCTTCATCACCCTCTCTTCATCATCCTCTCTTCATCATCTTCTTTTTATCATACACCGGGTACACGATGCTACGCGCAATCAGTTTGTTCCATAAATCCTACTGCCTATCATAGAAATCACCCCTCTTACTAACTGCTTGTCATAATATTTTTCAGTCTCTAGTCCCAAGGGTAGGGAAACGTTTACGACCTGTATGATAACTGGAGTCAGTTGTTGGTTCGCAATGGGCCTCACGAAACAAATGTATCTTGACGAGGGATACCGCAAGCGAGATGAAGAGCTTCGTGAGATACAAACTATACAGAACGATATCGGCGCCAAGTACCACACAATGGCCAGTGCCGCAAAAGTGGTCGCTTCACAGGACAAATGCGCCTAGCCACCATGTGAGTATCTTCAAGACCCCCATGCCATCAAAATTTCTCACCAACTGTCGGGGTTCAAATTAGGGTGGTTCTGGTGGTTGTGGAGCTGGACCTTTTGCTTTTTTCTTCTTTTTTTATTCTTTGTTTCAGGATGGTAGCATTTGGCAGTGGGGTTTATGGTGAAGGTTTACAATCGGGAGGTTTTGCTGTGTCTAGCAGAACTTAAAATCACTTCTTCAATATGACTCTTGTGATTTGATTGTGTTGACAATTTTGCTTATCAACCGTTGTGAGAGCTTGTACCAGCGTAAACAGAAAGCTTTTCAACCCAAATCCTGCCAATAAAGCCCGAACCCGGACATGCAGTACTAGGAGTCGACAAAAGTCGGGCCACTTCTGAATGGAGGTGGTATTTATATGTAGACTAAACCAGGTTAGGAAATTCGAGTGATAGTGGGTGAATATTTTTCAGTGTCGGCAAAGAGTTGGGGCAGCTCCCAAAATGGGTAGTGCTACGAGTGATATTCTATGAGAATGGTCCGCGAAGAAAAGAAGTCTATAATTATTATACAAACTACGGACATCAAGATTTAGTTTCTCCTTCAGCATCAAGGACAGCTTCTAGGTCCAGCTCCGGGCATACGAGTATCTCATACCAGCTAAGCCGTAATGTTCTGGTGTCGTGGGTTCTGGGGTCATGCGTCCTGGAGTCGTGTGTTCAGGAGTCGTGTGTTCTGGAGTCGTGTTGCGGGGCCATATGTTCTGGGGTCACGTATCGCGAAAGCCGGCAATCGCTGCTTTTCAGTATCGTCAAATATTGGTCAACTGGAACGGTAGGCATTCGGGCATCATCGTCGGAGGGAATAACCTTGAGATGCTCACCTTGAGTCTCTTAAAACACCTTGTAAATTTTGCTCACAAGGTTCTTTGCTGCTTGTATTGGGATAGGGGTGTCGGGAAGACGTTGTGTGCTGTCAACTTCTTACTAAGGTGATAAAAGGTGAATTGGTGACGGGGGAGGAGACTTGTGTAACGGGGCCCCAAATACCCTTACACCCGAGTGCATGTTTTTAATACCAGTGAATCAGAATTGTAGGAACAACAAGAAGGTAGGAGTGAGCGTGTGGTTGGTAGTCTACAGTTGGTATTATAAGTTTACTGCACGGCCCGGCGAGGTTTGCCCTCTGCATGTAAGTACTTCGGTATGATATAAGAGGAGAAAACTTTGCCAATATCATATATGTACAAAAAAAAAGTACAAACTACAGGAAATTGAACACAGGATCTTATCCAGTTGTAATTCTCATGGTAAAGCCCTAATTCCTCATAGGGTTAAGCGTTACATGTTGCATTGAGCCAGGTCTGCACTTTAGATGCAACGCCATACATATTAGATTTACCCCCTCGGTAGTCGAACTGCTGAGAAATTTGAACCCACAAAATTTATTCTCGTTACTTCCAGGAGCATCATCACTATCGATATCATCATCCTCGCCTAATGGAATTTTATCATTCTCACGATTCCCCGCTTTCTTTTCATCTACATAGTCCTTGCTTCCGTCGTCATCGCTGTCCGCACTATCATCATCGGATCTATCCATTTGGTTGTCTTCGCCTTCTTCTTGATAGAGCTTTTTGCAACTTATTTGTACAAAATTGTATTTGGTGTCTAATAGGACTGAGTTTCCTTTCCATACCTTACCCTTTCTATATGATTGTTAGCCCAATAGCTGCAATCTTATGAAAAGTATACATACAAGTGAACTTTGGTGATTATGATGTAGCGGTTCACAGTGTATTCTCTGCTCTTCGTTTTTCCACAGCAATCCGGTACACTCCTCCCTCCCCTATGATTTTCCTCCTCCGCCCCAACACCAACAGCTGGTACGGCCACCTCGCCCGAATTTCCTGGTCAAAAATCGGCTCTCTGGAGGAAATGATCTTGACCCAGACCTACTCCCCAATGAACTCGATGCCCCACTGCAGGAACAGGCTTTTGGGAACGAAGTCACGGAATCTGAGTTCGTTGGTTATCCAGATCCCCACCAGACCCCCTCCAATCCTGAAGGTGACGTTGTGGGGTATAAGGGTCCGGGAGAGCGGTATACAGTGGAGCTGATAGATGTTGAATCTGTTTAGGGTTCTGTAAGAGTTCTTCTAGGGCGCAGGCTTGTTGCGCCATGGGGGGGGTCAAGCAAGAACACGTGGAACTTTCGCACAGGGGTGGAGCTGGCAGTCAATGGGGATAGTTGTTTGGAGGTCTGCGGGGAAGGAAAAGGTGTTTCGAGGAATGGAGAATTGCTTCGGGGAGCCGGGTGGATGATGGTTTGCGTTTGCCAGGCTCCAGCCGGTGTGAACATAAGTATCGCCCGAAGCCTGTTCATGTGGGTGAGTAACTTCCCTCCTCACCAACTGGTGACTTGAAGAGCGACATAATACCTACTTTCGTAAAACTAATAATCCCCCTCGCGGCTCCAGCCAAACTACCCCCTACTCTTCTCGGGCCTATTGATTTCCCCGCTAGTCTGGGGGAACGACCCCAGCGATGTACGAGACCACTGTACAAACGGGCGGGGTACTAATTTCTCCTCCTCTCCCCCACCACTTCCACGCTGACAATTAACCATACTGAGAAGACTTCCTATCATGGCTCCACCTCTGTCGTACCTCTGCACCATCAGCATTGCAATACTAATTTCCTCCCACATCAAGCATGAGCCAAGCGAGCTCTAGAAAAAGCCTCCCTGTGGCTGGGGATATGCTTTCAGGTGCTGAGTGTTGCGTGTTTGTTCGCGGGGTTGGGGAATTATGTCTTGGGGTATCACAAATACTTCTCCCGAGTGGCTGAATAAGGTGTAATCGGTGTATAGGCCGGTTCGGCGACTCCCAGGACAATAAAATTTGATTCAATCATGTCATTGTGATCACATCCGACATTAATGCGGTTTCATGGTAGAGTTGGTTATCACATCTGTCTAACACTGGTGGTCCCCGGTTCGAGTATGGGTCAAATCAATTTTTCTCCTCTCTTGTGACTAGTTATCACTTTTAGTCTTCAGCTAAATTTGATTCCTTTTTACGGTATTTTTGCCACTATGCCCCCTTGTCTTAGCTTGGTTGCAATTTACCATAAGCAGAAAACCTTGATAGTCGTCTGTAAGAAAGATCTGGAAACGGGTCCTATGATCTGTAAAGCAGGGGAAACAAATAGAAAAAATAAAAGTTAAAGTGGAAAGGATAGAGGGGCGTTGCATGTAAGTACTTATCCTCCTGCGAGGTGGATTTGGGGTTATCAGTGCTGGTATATATCATGGATTAATGAGGGAGGAGGTACACGTAAGCTCACGGGGTGGGTCATTGATAGGTTATATCATACTAGAGGGTGGAAGGGCACCAGGTGCTATACACCTGTATGATAAGCATATAACAGAGAAGTAGTGTGATGCAGATTTCATCTGGCTTCCAAGTCAGGCCAAGTGAGTACATAACGGACCCTTGTATGATATGCTATTTCACCCGAGTGATTGTTCACGAAGGTGGATACAACTGGCTGATGTAATCATAGTGGACGCCTGTGAATAGATAAAGTCTAGTGCGAAAAGTCAAAGTATATCATACCTGTTGCTCAACAGGAATAACCGACCAGCTAGCATACCAAGATGAAAAGAGTAAGTAAAGCTGAAGCTGTAATCCTAAACATCCCCCCCCACCGTGCCCATTTTATGATAATTATCCACTCCATGTGCTATCGACTTTCTTGACCTGATGCTGTACTAGTAGTTTCCTGGCAACAGTAATGAGGTTAGCCCCATTCCAGGAAGAGCCAGTTGGTTTGTTAGCCAAGGCCACACGCCGAGTTTCTTCAGATCGGCCTAGCTGACTCCAAGCTTCGTACCTGCACAGATCAGGCCCGACCATTCTGGTGATCCGTATCTCTTGAATAGAGAAGTCTTTCGTCATGTTTTGCCTCCAGCCATAAATAACAGATAGGCCGAGGTATTATAGCAGAATCTACCTCTACCCAATACCTCATTGTCAACCCCAAACCTACTCTAGAAGATTGGAGAAAATATTAGTTGAGTCGCTTTCATTGTAGGAATTTGTTTTTGCCCAACATGCAAGTGCTGAAAAATCGCCTTAGCCTTGTTTCCTCCTAAAATGGGAATTTTCCAGTATTTGTAGAAGATGCCAATGCAAAAACTGGGTTGCAACTGACCAGGCATTCAGTACTGCACCAGTTTCACAATAGCATATCGATTGGAGAAAGTCGGATTCGCCATACGTGGGCCTGCCCAATTTTCTTTCTCTACTTGCTTAAAGTGCGGCGATTGGGGGCTAACCTTGCCATCTGTTTGGCTCATCAGCCCTTAGCTCCAGTCCAACTCTTTTGGAAAGACATGGTAGTGGTTGTATTCACAAAGGGTCATTCATTATAAGCGTAGTATAGTATAGTCGTGTCCGGAGAGACCTCATATCCTTACATAGCAAAGAATACTCGCTAATATCACAACCTTGAACTTTTTCCAATAAATCAGAAAGCATATGAGTAAGATAAGAAAATTTAGTTTTATAATATCAACTAGTATGAGTAGAACTATATGTAATAATAAAGTTAAAGTTGGATTTGTGTCACTCTAGGTTGACACCAAAATCTGTAAATTTTAGCATAAAGTTTTAACAAAAAATAACTATTAAGTTACTAGAAAACTGTCTGACTGACTAGTAGGTCATCTTTACCATGATAATGTTGAAAAGCCGATATACTTGTAATTGTTAACTAGGTCCGGAACAAGCAAACGCAATTGGGCAATGTGGAGGTTACGCTTCGTATCGGAGCCTAAAACAGGATTGTGTCGTCACTGACACTTCTATTTCACGAGTTGTTGGCCACATCAAGAGACGCGTAATGGTAAGTGTAATGCGTAGAGGCATAGGAGTAGTTAAACCTCCATACTCTCCTTTACTTGGAAACCTCCCAACCCCTTATTCACCTCTGTCCCTACGCAAAAATAAAATCTACAATCTTTGGTATGTCAAAGGACTTATTCGAGTCCTACCGTATCCTACTGAGGTTACCAAATTGTTACTAATGCTTTATGCAGCAATCATACGAAAACACGTTAGTAGCTTTTGGAAGGGAGCGACCCCACTTATAGTTACCGGAATCCAGTTAACCGATTCACGTCTGAACCGAAAGGAGGAAAAACTCCGAGCAGAGCGGTTGGCAATCGAGGGCCGAGAGGAGAGGGACCTCGGTCGCCAAGAGCGAGAGTTAAACATGAAGCTCATGCACAAACAAATAGAGCAACTAGGTAACCAGAAAAAGGCGCCCCTCTCCGCAGCTACACTAACCCCCCCCAAGACCCACTAAGGGCTGGGGCCCCAGGGTTGGGTACCGGGGAGGGGGTGCCCAGGTGTTGGGGGGGAGGAGCGGGGAGGCATTGGTGGGGGTAAGGGTGGGGAGAGGGTGCCCAGGTGTTAGGGGGGGAGGAGGGGGGAGGAGGGGGGAGGCATTGGTGGGGGTAAGGGTGGGGAGAGGGTCGGGCGGGGCGGGGCGATATGTTTGTTCCCTAAATCCTACTCCCTAGAAATAACCCCTGTTACTAACTCCTTGTGATAATATTTTTCAGACTCTAGTTCCGGGGGTAGGGGACTGCTTAGGATCAGTGTGGCAAGTGGAGTCAGTTCTTGGATCTGCATTGACTACACAAAACGAACGAGTTTTGTGGCCGGGGAACACTACAACCAAGAGAAACAGCTTCGCCAGATACAAGCCGCAAAGAACGATACCCACGCCGAGTACTGTACCACACAATCGCTAGTACCACAAAGATGATCGCTTCATAGGACAAATACGTCCAGTCACTATGCGAATATTTACAAGACCCGTTTACCATTCAAATTTCCCGCCACTATCGGGGTGCAAGCTGTGGTAGTTCGGCTAGTTCAGGGATTGGAGTTTTCGCCCTTTTATTCTTTTTATATTCTTTGTTTCAAGATGGTAGCATTCGGCAGAGGGGGGTTTATGGTATAGATTTACAATCGGGAGGTTTTGCTGCGTCTAGCAGAACTTAAAATCACTTCTTCAATATGACTCTTGTGATTTGATTGTGTTGACAATTTTGCTTATCAACCGTTGTGAGAGCTTGTACCAGCGTAAACAGAAAGCTTTTCAGCCCAAATCCTGCCAATAAAGCCCGAACCTGGATTTACAGTACGGTACTAGGTCGACAAAAGTCGGGGCCACTTCTGAATGGAGGTGTGGTATTTATGTGTAGACTAAACCAGGTCAGGAAACCCGAGTGATAGTGGATGAATATTTTTTTGGTGTCGGCAAAGAGTCGGGGCCGCTCCCAAAATGGGTAGTGCTACGAGTGATATTCTATGGGAACGGCCAACGAAGAAAAGAAGTCTATAATTACTATACAAACTACGGACATCAAGATTTAGTTGCTCCTTCAACATCAAGGACAGCTTCTAGGCCCACCTCCGGGTATACCAGTATCTCATACCAGCTAAGCCGTTATGTTCTGGCGTCGGGCGTTCTAGAGTTGTGTGTTATGGAGTCGTGCGTTCTGGAGTCGTGTTGCAGAGTCATGTGTTCTGGGGTCGCGTATCGTGAAAACCGGCAATCGCTGCTTTTCACTATCGTCAAATATTGGCCAACTGGAACAGTAGGCATTCGGGCATCATCGTGGGAGGGAATCACCATGAGATGCTCACCTTGAGTCTCTTAAAACACCTTGTAAATTTTGCTCACAAGGTTCTTTGCTGCTTGTGTTGGGATAGGGGTGTCAGGAAGACGTTGTGTGCTGTCAACCTCTTACTAAGGTGATAAAAGGTGAATTGTGATGGGGGAGGAGACTTGTGTAACGGGGCCCCAAATACCCTTACACCCGAGTACATGTTTTTAATACCAGTGGATCGGAATTGTAGGAACAACAAGACGGTAGGAGTGAGGGTGGGTTGGTGGCCTACAGTAGGTATAATAGAGATAACTGTGAGTGGATAAGGGGTGGGCAGTAATATTTTTCAGCCTTTAGTCCAAGGGTAGGGAACTACTTGTGACCGCTGTGGCAAGTGTCGCAAGTACTTGGATGGTAACCACCAGCATGAGACGATTCTGGCTCGCTGAGGTGGCAGAGGCGGAGGCACGCGGCATTAAAGAGGGACAGCTTTGCCAGGTAGAAATAGCAAGCAATAATCTGCCGCCCGCGGACAGTGCATTGACTAGAGCTGCGAAAATGATGGCTTCGCAGGACAAAGGTGTCTAGCCATTGCATGAGTGGTTCGAAGACCCGTGTGCCTTCAGGAATTATCGCTACGGTCGTGGTGGTGGTTATGATGGTTCTGGTTGTTGCGGAGTTGGAGTTTTTTTATATTCTTTCGGGGATAGTTGCATTAGGGACAGTGGGGGCTTATGGTGAAGGTCTGTGGTGGGGATGATTTGGTGCGACTATATAATAGCGGTATCAAGTAGCCAAAAAAAAGGGGAAACCAATTGCGGCAAGTGCGGAGTTGGGAACAATAGTAGCTTCTTCATTGGTCGGCAATGTCTACCCCACCCATATAATCATTGTAGTCCACCGATACCGATACCTTAGGTAATGCTAACTCTCGATGATAGTCTTCCCCCCATCCTGCCTCCATAAGTCTCCTATTTGCATCAGTAATGCTGGGATGGCGACGGAGTCGTTTAGTAAAGTTCTCAGTTTCCAGGGTGCAGGTATGATATGTTGTAAGAAAATGGACGAGGTTTTTATCTTGCCAGAGAACTACCAAAACTCTATTGACTTCCAAAGCTATTAGGGTATTCCAAGGTAAATATTAGTTGCGTTTATCGATTTTGAATAGAGCAGGATAGGTAGATGATGATGTGCAAACTGTTCCACAGGGTGCAATGGAATACTCATGTAAGGGTTTAAATAATGGTATATTGGAAAATTAATTATTGCAATACAAAATAAAATGATGGGTCTGGTAGGGAAGTAAGGATTATAGTTAAAATATGGTAC